ATAATCACAAGTGATGAGTTCACATAAACTACAACTTCTACAAGCTTCAAGGTTTGGTGTTCTTCATAGGTTGAAGTCCCTCGAGGAATGTGAAGCCACAAGCTATTGGCCTACCCTCCCCTTACTTTGGTAGAAGCCATGCTGAACGACTGTTTCCAATTTGCCCGAGCTGAGGAGCCCTGGGAGCAGTATCAATGAGTCAGCTAACGAAACAGACCGCACTCTATGAACTGCAAGAAGTTTGACCACCCAATCTCTCCGAATCTCCGAGAGGCGTCTTCGCCACATCAAGCCTCGTGCTCGAAAGCTTGGATTTGGGCTTGGACTGTTCTGTCTTCGCTTACAAGTTCTCTTCTAGACAAACTTCGAGGAGGGGTCCAGTCCCTGACGATGTCTTGGAGCACACCCTCTTGGGCCCTCGTACCCCTACTTCAGAACGGAGAGACCGACGAAAGAGAGTCCTGAAACAATCTAAGGCAAGTCATGCAGACTGGGGAAAGTCAAGACAAGCCAAGCAGCTGGTGAGTCACCGCAGCGGAAACGACACCGGCAAGGCCCCCCGCCCAGAAGGTGAAGCTTCGTTGGATCTCGGCCCAAGGGATCGCGTGGCTGCCAACTCCCAAAAAAGCTTGCTGAAGCGTTGCTCTCGAGGTCTACCGCCGCTGGCGGCGAGCTAGAACAACTGCACAGAGCCCATTCTACGATACACCCACCCCCACTTGTGACAGGTCGTGTGTGCCACGCAACATCACGCGACCATGCACAAAGCGAGCAATCTCCGTCAAGCATGGTCGAGTTGAGCTTCTAACCTTCTTTTGCCTTTGATCACGGGGACCTTGTTAGCTGCTAGTGGGGGGGTCCGGGGTTCCCGGTTGCAAGAGATAACAAAGATGCTGGCATTCTCCGGCAGCGGCGGCTTGAAATCTTCGCCATCGCCACCATCACCTGGCATGGCAGTCAAGCCAAATGAAGCACCTCAAGCAAGTGCTGTGGAGAAACGATGTGAGCCGCCACAGGAACTGGCATCTTGCCACCAACTTCTCCCAAGTCGTCCGGATTCCCTCCAATGCTCTGAAGCCCCACCCACGAAGGCCTTCCAATTCCACGGATGGTTTTCGTCGACGCCGCTTTCGAATCTGCACGGTGCTGCAGTTGCAGGCGTGTAAAGACACGTGAATGAGCTGGTTGATGCTAAACCCTCGAAAAATGCAGGGTCACAACACTGGGCGGATGTTAAGGTCGAGCCTCAACAACTGGACAGAATTTCACACAACTTTGACTACTTGTTCTTCAATGCAAACTTAGTTCCTGTCGCTGCGCCTGGTTTCGCAGCAGAAGGGCAAGCAAGCCCAAGGTACAGACGCCCACCACAAGGCCCAGCATGTTGGCACGAGGCTAACGTGACTATCGTGCCAAGCGCGTGAGGGTGTGTGCGGTCTGCAGCTGACTCCTAGAAGGGAGGTTCGCTGGGGTCTTTGTGTCTGCTCATGCTTCTCGTGGTTGGAAACAATACGCAGCTAAAGGCACGCAGCATGCCCAATAAGTCTCTGGGTGATTGCATGTGTGGGGCATCGACAGATGTTGACTAAAGTGGTTTAGACCTACTTAATCTAGCAAGCTGGATCTCTTATACGAGCTGTGCGAGAAGAAATGTGGCATTCATGGTTTTGCTGGGCCCGCAAGTTTTCATCTTTTCCTACTGCATCCAACATTCCCACACTTGAGCCTGCATTAAAACACACGGCTTTGCAAATTCAACCAGATACGACATCCAATCCATCGCTTCGGGTGGGAATTCACCACATGCAATACCAACGACCGGCTGTTCCTCCAACTGGCGCAATCTCACGTGGAAACGACGTTGCAAGCAACAACAGCTCTTGCCAATTGACTGCCACTTTTGTCCTTCTCCGAACGATGATCATCAGCAGGTCTGCGGCCCAGGCTTCACGTTTGTGTATCAGGAAACCTTTTGGCATGCTCCGATCGCATCACAACTGTGACGGATCTGGAGGCGATCTGTGGCCGGCGAGGAGATGTGCGCTCCAACTTGACTGTCCGCGATCCGGGGCACGTGACAAAGTTACCGGATTTCTGGGATAGCTGCTGCTTACAACCGATACTGCGGCTTCCCTAGATAAGAAAGAGCTCAGAACCGAACCAGGATCACAAGGCACTGTGCCGAGACCCACGTTCTGCGCTCTGCATGATCTAGAATCTACGACTGGGGGCTTCAGGGCGAATGGTTCAGACTCTACGACATCTGACTTCTGGCATGGAGATCTGTTGGCTTCGGTGCCAAGAGTTCCACAATGTTCCATACCAGAACTTTCCGCAAGCCGGCTTTCGCAAGGTCAAAAGCTGCCAGGACTCTCCAACTCAAGCTCGGGAATGTCAATCTTCAAGCGAGCTACAGTACCATGTGCAGCTTTCGGAGATGCGTCACATCATTCTGTCTCATGGTGAAGAGTTACACCATAACCGTTAAAAACCTAGGAAGCTCTA